AGGAGAATCACTTGAACCCGGGGAGTCAGAGGTTGCAATGAGCCGAGATCGCATCATTGCACTACAGCCTGGGCGACAAGAGCAAAACTAGGTCTCAAAAAAAAAAAAAAGAAAGAAAAATTAAATGGGTTAAGGGACAAGAAGGGCATAAGGGTCAGGGTTGCTGCCTTGGTAGCCAAGGAAGGCATCTCTGGGGAGGCCACACGTGGGCAGAAGCCTAATTGAAACAAAGACGTCAGCCAGGTGCAGACCTGGGGAATGGGGACTCCCCGGAGAACACAGGGCGCTGAGTGCAAAGGCCCCGAAGCTGTTTCTCGCCTGTGCAGTGTTGGAGGAACAGGGAGGCCAGCGTGGCTGGAAGGGAATGAACAAGGGGAAGTGTACCAGCAAGAGGGTAGACAGACTTGGAGGGGCGGATCATTTAGAGTCACGTGGGCCATGGGGAGGATGCTGGCCTTTACTCCAAGTGAGATGGGAGCCGGGGGAGGGTTGAGAGCACAGGAGGGACAGGAGCTAACTTCGGAGTTAAGAGGCTTTCCTGGCTGCTGTAGCAAGAAGAGACGATGGGGTGAGAAGCCGAGTGTGGAGGTCATCAAGGAGGCTACTGCAATAGTCCAAGCAAACAATGAGGGTGAAAGCAGAGGTGGTGAAAGGTGGCCAGATTCTGGAAATATTTTGAAAGTAGAGTCAGCTAATGGACTGGACGTGGAGGTGTGGGAAAAAGACAGCCGGTCGGCGATGACTGGGAGGTTTGGGCCAGAGCCACCGCGCTGGGGAGGCGGTGGGTGGGGCAGGTGCAAGTTTCCTGAAGGTCCCAAGCGGTTCCACAGCTCCAGGTCTTTGTGCTGTCTGTGGCCCCTGCTTGGAATGCCCTCCCTGCTCAGCTCCCCACCCCCAGCCTCAGCCTCAACCCTGCTCCCAGCCACAGCTGGGCCTAAATATCATCCTCTCTGGAGGCTTCTCTGCAAGGAACCCTGGTTCAGTGCAGTGCACCCTTCTGCGTCCTCATGACAACTTTCTCTTCCTCTTCCCTGGAATGGACAGTCATAGTCCATCAGCTGGGAACTTGTGCTGAGTGGACAACACCCAAGGGACAGGGGAGTGCTCCTGGCTTGAATCAGTCATCAAATGCACCTGCAGGAAATAACCTTGTTCTTTCCTTCATTCAGCAAATTTATTGTTGTTGCTATTTTTGAAATAGAGCCTTGCTCTGTAACCCCGGCTGGAGCGCAGTGGCACCATGTCAGCTCACTGCAACCTCCACCTCCTGGGTTCAGACAATTCTCATGCCTCAGCCTCCCAAGTAGCTGGGACTATAGGTGTGCGCCGCCACGCCTAGCTAATTTTTGTATTTTTTATAGAGACGAGGTTTTCCCTTGTAGGCCACGCTGGTCTTGAACTCCTGACCTCAAGGGATCCTCCCACCTTGGCCTCCCAAAGCACTGGGTTTCCATTGCAAGTTAACTTATAAACCTATTTTTATAAAAATAACTATTTGGTGGGGTGTGGTGGCTCAAGCCTGTAATCCTAGCACTTTGGGAGACTAAGGCGGGTGGATCACCTGAGCTCAGGAGTTCAACACCAGCCTGGGCAATACGGTGAAACCCCGTCTCTACTAAAATACAAAAAATTGGTCAGGCATAGCGGCCGGCGCCTGTAATCCCAGCTACTTGGGAGACTGAGGCAGGAGAATTGCTTGAACCTGGGAGGAGGTTGCAGTGAGCCAAGATTGCACCACTGCACTCCAGTCTAGGCGACAGAGCAAGACTCTGTCTCAAAAAAAAAAAAAAAAAAAAAAAAACTAAAAGCTGGTCACAGTGGCTCATACCTGTAAGCTCAGCACTTTGGGAGGCCGAGGCGAGTGGATCACCTGAGGTCAGGAGTTCGAGACCAGCCTGACCAACATGGTGAAACCCCATCTCTACTAAAAATACAAAAATTTCCAGGCCTGGTATCGGGCGCCTGTAATCCCAGTTACTCAGGAGGCTGAAACAGGAGAATCACTTGAACTCGGGAGGCGGAGGTTACAGTGAGCTGAGATCACCCCCATTGCAATCCAGCCTGGGCAATGAGATGAAACTCCATCTCAAAAAAAAAAAAAAAAAACCATTTTCAAAAAAAACTCAGTGCATCGCGTGGCATTGTGTCATTTGGAAAATTTTTTTTTTTTTTTTTTGGACAGCATTCCACTCTGTCGCTCTGTGGCCAGGCTGGTCTCAAACTCCTGACCTCAAGTGATCCACTGGCGCCGACCTTCCAAAGTGCTGGGATTACAGGCATGAGCCACTGCACCCAGCCGCACATCTCTTTAATGTCTGGCTGGATCCTTGCATCTGTGTCTGTCTTCAGTGCCGCCATTCATTACATGTTGGGCAACTTCTGGAAACTTCCACTGTCCACTCATGAGCGAACGAGAATAAAAAAGGCAGTTAACATCTCAGGAGGGTAATATACAAATAATTTCGACCTCATGGATCCCTCGAAAGGGTCTCAGGGACTCCTAGGGAACTCTGAACCATGCTTTGAGAACCACTGACATGTAGTTTCAGTTATTTGAAATCAATAAAGTGCCAAAAAGGAAAAAGTATTAGGATAAATTTGGTGATAAAACTGACCCAAACAGACTCATAATCTTTTTCTTTTTCTTTTTCTTTTTTTTTTTTTGAGGCAGTCTCGCTCTGTCGCCCAGTCTGGAGTGCAGTGGCACAATCTCAACTCAGTGAAAACTCCACCACCCAGGTTCAAACGATTCTCCTGCCTCAGTCTCCCGATTACAGGCGTGAGCCACTGCGCCCAGCCGATTTTTCAGATTTTAAACAAGGTCACAGGAGTATCTACTGCTTCTGTTGAACAACCCCAGAGGGGCTTGGCAGCCAACCTGTCATCCAACACTGGAGTATTTCCATGGTGAGACTTAGTTAGGAACAATCTCACCTTACAAAAGAAACAATTTAAGAGTGTGAAGCCTGGGCTAGGTGTGGTGGCTCACACCGCTAATCTCAGCACTTTGGGAGGCCAAGGGGGGTGGATCACATGAGACCCGGAGTTCGAGACCAGCCTGGCCCACGTGGTGAAACCCTGTCTCTACTAAAAGTACAAAATTATCCGGGCGTGGTGGCACACACCTGTAATCCCAGCTACTAGAGAAGCTGAGGCAGAAGAATTGCTTGAGCCCAGGGGGCAGAGGTTGCAGTGAGTAGAGATAATGCCACTGCACAGCCTAGGCAACAGAACCAGACTCCGTCTCAAAGAAAAAAAAAAAAAAAAAGAAAGAAAAGTTTCATATATGGGCCATGCACGGTGGCTCAGGCCTGTAATCCCAGTACTTTGGGAGTCTGAGGGAGGTAGATTGTTTGAGGCCAGGAGTTTGAGACCAGCCTGGGCAACACAAGGAGACTCCCCATCTCTACAAAAATAAAATTTTAAAAATTAGCCTGGTGTGGTGGCATGCACCTGTAGTCCCAGCTACTCCAGAGGCTGAGGTGGGAGGATTGCTTGAGCCCAGGAGTTTGAGGCTGCAGTGAGCTATGATTGCACCGCTGCGCTCCAGCCTGGGCAACAGAGCAACACCCTGGCTCAACAACAACAACAAAAAGTTTCATACATTAACATTTCCTTTATACTGAGCATGCAGTCTGCTATGGAGTTCTAGTTTATTCTATTCCATTTTTGTTTTCTTTTTTTCTTTCCTTACTTTTTTTTTGAGACGGAGTGTTACTCTGTCGCCAGGCTGGTGTGCAGTGGCGTGGCAATCTTGGCCCACTGCAACCTCTGCCTACCGGGTTCAAGAGATTCTCCTGCATCAGCCTCCTGAGTAGCTGGGACTACAGGCAACTGCCACCATGCCCGGCTAATTTTCGTATTTTTAATAGAGACGAGGTTTCACCATGTTGGCCAGGATGGTTTCGATCTCCTGATCTCGTGATCCGCCCTCTTCAACCTCCCAAAGTGCTGGGATTACAGGCGTGAGCCATCACGCCCGGCCCCCATTAAAAAAAAAAAAAAATTGCTGATTGCCACGGAGTATTTTTTGTCTTTCTTTCTTTTCAGAGAGTGACTTTGTTTCTGAGACCACCGAGGATCTTGATATCACCCCTGCTAATGGCTGGGCGCTCACAGTTTGAAAAGCTCTAGGGAACCCCCTGTTACTCCCCAGACAAGACCCACTCCATCCCCACCCTGACTCAGAGGTGCCTCGCAGTGCTTAAGCCCTAATGTGCAATTATTCCACTCGTGGCTGCTTTCCTTGAATCCTCGAGACTTCCAGAAGTTGAGGGAACACGTCTCGCTTGCTTCCTGCTGCGGCCCCAGCTTCTGGCCCAGCGCCTGCCTAATCACATAGTGGGTGCCTAATAAACGTTTGTTGAGTGAATACATGAACAAGCGAGCTGGGGCCAGAGTCAGGACTGCAGCCCCGCTTGTGCCACTCCCTAGGACTCGATAATTCTGCTCACGTCACTTCCAAAGACCCATGCAGCGGACCCTCCCTCGGCTTCTGCTACCCGCATCCAGCCGCGGCTTAACCTGAGCCTCCTTACTGGGTTGAGCAGGACTACATTTCCTACAAGTCTCAAGGCCAGGACTACACTTCCCATAAGCCTCTGCTTCCGCCAGGTTCTGTGCCCTTCAGCCACCGGGGCAGCAAATTGCGTCTTTTCTCACTCCCCGCCCCCCGATTGCATCCCCTCCACCCTGCAGCCCTTCCGTGCGCCCCCTCCCTCCCGTGATGAACCTGCCTCAGTTTCTCCAATGAGACACCCGAAGGCAGCCCCTTTCCCCTTCCCCTGAGCCCCCAGATGAGGAGGGCTGCGCTCTGCGGGGAGTGTGCACTGCCCGGCCGGTGTGCGCCACGGCTGCGCGTTTTGGTGGAAAGCCCTGGGCCCCTGCTGGGGGGTTGGGGTGGGGGGCTGGGTCGCCTGCGCCGAGTGTTGCTGAGGCTGCGTCTTGGGTGCGCAGCTCCGGCCCAGCCTCACCCAGGGGAACGCCTCGCAGGTGCTCACGGACGATGGAGAGGTCCGCGCCCAGGGTGGGAGTCCGCGCTTCCGGGTGTGTCTGCAGCTCGGGGCGCTGGAGGGTGGGATGTGACCCCGAGACGGCGGCGGCCTGGCACGTGATGTATGTGTGTCCTTGTCTGATGTGTCGGTGTCCCCGATGGACCGGGTTCCAGTCCCAGCTTTGCCACTTCCCGGCTTGTGTGCCTTGGGGCAGGTGACTACCCCGCGCTGTGCCTCAGTTGCCTCATCTGTACAATGGGCATGATTTAAAAATACCTGTCTCAGAGGGCGGTTATGAGGATTGCAAGGTAATTCTGTACGTGTAAAACGCTGCGGACGATACCTGGCACAGACTAAATACTCATAAGAATAAATACATTAAATAAACTATGATCATGTATCTTTTGTATGAGGCAAGTGCTGTGGTTGTGTAATGTCTGCGAAACCTCACGGGAAACGTGGGTATTTGCGATCCGTGTGACTGTGCGCGTGTCTGTGTCTGTGTTGTGGGTGTGTGAATCTTTGTATGTGTTATGTGTGCCCGTGCGTGTTTCTGCATGTGATGTGTGACTGTGGTGGGGTTCTGTGTCTTTGTAACCTTGTGTGAAAGGTGTGTGTATTTGTGATGTGTGTGTCCAAGTCTGTTTAGGTATGTGATACATGTATCTCTGTGTGTCTGTGTATTTGATCTGTGTGCCTATGTCTGTGTTTATGTATAGTGTGTGACTGTGTATATGTGCATGTTATATGTGTCTGTGTATATCAGTGTGTGGTGTATTTATGTGCATTTTTGCATGTGATTTATGTAGCCCTGTGTGTATGAGTTGTGTGTGCCTGTATGCATGTGTAGGTAATGTGTCTGTATGTATCCATGTGTGTGAAGTGTGTGTCCGTGTGAATGATGCATGTTACATGTCCATGTATATGCATGTGTTACGTTTCTGTGTACTCACGTATGTGATGTGCCTGTCTCTGTGTAGCTGCTGGGTCCGTGTCTATGTTAGTTCATATGATGTATGTGTCTGCGTGTGTCCATGCAATTGCTGTCTGTGCATGTCCATGTGACATGCATGTATGTGATACTTGTGTCTGTGGGTATTCTTTGTTGCTCATTTGTCTAGGGGCTCTCTGCGTGGCTGTGACTGTGAGTGTCAGCATGTCACAGTGGTGTCCGTGGGGATCTTTGTGCTGTGTGCGTCTGTGGATTTGGGGCTTTACTTTGTCTGGGGCATGTGTGGGTCTTTGTGATGCTTTGACGTTCCTGCGTGGCCGGGTGCATCTGTGCTGGAAGCCGGCCTGCCTGTGCGTTTCCAGTGCGGTCCCTGCGTCTTTGTGTGTGACGTGTACGTGTCCCCGTCTGCTGATGGCTGTCCACCTTTGTATGTGATGCGCTTGTCTATGAGGGTCCCTGCGACGTGTGTCAGCTGTGTGTGGGCTGCGCGTGCCTGACATCTGCATCTTGGCGTGTAGCACATGTGTCCATGCTGGTGGCATGTCACAGCGGTGTCCGGGCCAGGCACCCGTGGGCCCTGCCCCCCCTTCCCCCTCCCCGCCGCAAGCGTGTGCCAGTCCCTGTCTGTCCTTCCCCCTCCCATTTCCTCCCCTCCCTCCTGGCAGCCAATGCTACGGGGGAGCCAGTTGCCATGACGACGCTCCATCCTCCCTCCTCCCACCCTTCCTGTGACAGGCTCTCTGCTCCCCCAATCCTGGCTGCCCTCGGGGGCGGGGCCCTCTTTCTCGCCCCCCCCATCCTACCCTCTCCCCCCCACCCCAGCAACCCCGGCTCCCCAGCTCCTCTCCTCTGTCCGCCTCTCCATCCCTTCATCCGTCTGTCCCTTCAAAGAGGGGGAGGGGGGTACCTGAGCCAGCAAGCAGCCCCTCCCTCCCCCTGTCCTGCGTCTCCTGCCCCTCTCCTGGGCCGGGAGGAGGCCAGGGTCGCGCGGGTCCCCATGGCTGGGGGCTGAGGGCCCGCCCCCCCCTCCTCCCCAGCCGCCACCACCTCCACCTCCCTGCCATCCTCGACAAGATGCCTGCCCCCGGCGCCCTCATCCTCCTTGCGGCCGTCTCCGCCTCCGGCTGCCTGGCGTCCCCGGCCCACCCCGGTGAGTCTGTCGGGCCATCCGTCTGTCCGGCGGCCCCCACCCGCGCGGCGGCCTCGCTGTCTTCCCAGGGGTCTGTCTGCAGGTCCTGCCCCGTCACCTGGTGCGCGTCTTCCCGCAGCCCAGCCGGGCCCGGAGCGACGGGGACGGTGCCTCTGTCAGCAGGGCCTGTGGGAGGGAGGCTGAGGGCTGGGTGGGGAGGGGGCTCCGTTTGGGCAACATGTGTGTATGCGTGCACGCATGTGTTTGTGCTGGTGTGTGCAGGAAGCCGGGGAAGGATAGGGCCTCTGGGAGAATTGGGGGCAGAGGACAGGAATACTATTTCTAAGGGGGACACAACACGAGAGGCTGTCTCTGGCTTCTGAGGAGATCCAGGGCTTGCGGAGTTCCCTTCTTTGGGTCTCGGGCTGGGGATAGAGGACATCGGTGTGCGCCAAGCGTCCCTAAAAGAGACAGATCTTAACCCCACAAACTGGGGGGTTCCAGCATGGGGCAAGAATCCTCTCCCAGCCTGCAGCTTAGAGCTCGTCCTCCTCCCCAATGAGGGGTAATGAGGCTGTCCATGGGAGCGTATTTTAAATTCTGCAAGCTCCAGGCTTCACTATTACTCCTCTTTCCTTCAGCCCTCACTGGAATTCATCCAAGCCTGGGGTGAGGGGATGGGGTGGGGTGAGGTGGGGGGGGTCCCAGTTTGGGACCAGAGGAGAGACCCCACCCCCAATCCAACCACTTGGGAAGGCCCCAAACTACAACTCCCACAATGCCTTGGGCCACTCTGCACCTCTGCCAAGGGACCCTGGTCGCAGAGCATCATGGGAGTTGTAGTCCAAGACGTGCCGGGACGGGAGGGGGCATGATTCCGGTATCCAGGGACTTGAAGCTGGGACCCCAGCCCAGCCCTGTGCCCGCAGATGGATTCGCCCTGGGCCGGGCTCCTCTGGCTCCTCCCTACGCTGTGGTCCTCATTTCCTGCTCCGGCCTGCTGGCCTTCATCTTCCTCCTCCTCACCTGTCTGTGCTGCAAACGGGGCGATGTCGGCTTCAAGGTGAGGTGCATGAGGGGATTCAACCTGGGGAGGAAGACTCCAGCAAGGCCTTTACCCCCAACACAGGTGGTTGGTGGGGAGAGGGGGGCAGTAAATCCGAGAGCACCTTCTAGCTTGAAGCTATGGCAAGATCTGGAGCCTTGGGATGGAGAAACAGGGGGATGGAAATTGGGTTGGGACTGGGAGACAGTTACAAAAATGAAGGGGAGACAAACGTAAGAGAAAGACGATGGCGTGTCTCTCATCCCTGCGTTCTCCAACTCCTCCTCGCCTCTCTCGGCCCCAGGAGTTTGAGAACCCTGAAGGGGAGGACTGCTCCGGGGAGTACACTCCCCCTGCGGAGGAGACCTCCTCCTCACAGTCGCTGCCTGATGTCTACATTCTCCCACTGGCTGAGGTCTCCTTACCAATGCCTGCCCCGCAGCCTTCACACTCAGGTACTGCCCCACACCATGACCGGAATCCCATGGTGTCCCGGGAAGGGCCAGAAGATGTTGAGTGTCTTCCTTTAGGGGCTGGGGCGGTTGAGACCAGGGGCAGCCAACGAGAAAGGCATAGGTGGGAGCCCCGGAATCCTGGAAGCAGCCTATGGGAAGGCAGACAAAGATCATCTTGGTGGTAGCCATTGCTTAATTCAAAACCAGATTTGGGGATTCTTGTGGGGCAAGCAGTGGTGAGATTAGCATAGAGCACAGTCTCAGAGGCAACCAATGGGAGGCTGAAATCACATCATAGGAGCTTGGGATGCCAAAGGGAAGGACTGATTGGATGCTGGAGTCTTGCGAGCAGCCAATGAGGAAGCTGAGATTCTGACATGGAATGTGGGTGGCAGCCAATGAAAAGAGAGTGATGTCTGCTCTGACCCCAGTCCCCACTGACTTGGGGTGTGTTGGTGGCACTCGGGAGGGGGGAGAGGCTCAGGGGCTTTCCCCTCTTGCCCTCCCCAGACATGACCACCCCCCTGGGCCTTAGCCGCCAGCACCTCAGCTACCTGCAGGAGATTGGGAGTGGCTGGTTTGGGAAGGTGAGTGGGCTGGGGAGGGGAGGCAGGGCTCCATGGATCCGAGCTGTCCTCCTGTTCTGTGTCCACACCCCTGCTCTCACCACTTCTCATCTATCCCTCGCCTCCTCCCCGTACCCCCTCAGCCTCCCATTCCCCCTCCGTCCACCTCTCACCGGCTCCCACCCGCCCCATCCCCGACATCTGTCAGTCAGCGCCTCCCTCCTCACTCCATTGACCACTCCGCCGCGCCACCCGGCTCTCCACGCGTCCGTCCGTCTGTCCATCCTTCCATCCGTCCCTGCGTCCATCGGATTCTGGGCCCGTGAGTGTCTCACCCCATGTCTGGTGTGGGTCAAGGGTGGTGGGATGTGGAGGGAGAAACTGGGAAGGAGCCGGGGGTTGGGAGCTGTGTGGTGGAGTGGAGCTGGTCCCAGGGGAGGGGACTGGGGAACTGGCACTCGCTGACTCCTGGGTTCCCCTTGACCAGGTGATCCTGGGAGAGATTTTCTCCGACTACACCCCTGCCCAGGTGGTGGTGAAGGAGCTCCGAGCCAGCGCAGGGCCCCTGGAGCAACGCAAGTTCATCTCGGAAGCCCAGCCCTACAGGTACTGGGGGTTTTTCAGTGGGTGTGTGCCTTGTTGAGGTGACATTCAGGAGTGGAAGGAGCGCTCTATGGGTCAAACGTGGAATCTACCTCTTCCCAGCTGTGCAGCTCTGGCAGGAGAACTTCCCTCCCTCAACCTCAGGTTCTTCCTCTGGACCGAGCTAAGGGTGGGAAATGAGAGGCAGGATGGTGGAGGAGGTGGGAGCACAGAAGCTGAGCTAGAGGCCTGTTCCTCTCCCCTCTGAACCTCCGGATCTTCATCTGGAAAGTCAGTCCAAGAAGCCCTAGTGTCCTCATGAAGTGGGCAGCTGAGAGGATGTGAGATTCCCATGTTCAATGTTGGGTACCGGCTGGTGCTTCCCTTCCCCAGGCCACAGACTAGGTTCCTGAGCAGGCCACTGTGGAGCTCCATCCCTGCCCTGCTTGGTCTCTACTCCACTCTCAGTGCTTCTAGGATGGTGTCTAGGTAAACACTTGCCAGATAAATTCCTTGTGAAGTAGTGAGTTCCCTGTTTTGGAAAGGGTGTGTTCGCAGAGACCCCTTATCAGAGCAGTTGTAAAGGTGGGCTTTACCCTGAGAAACACATCGGGTCTTGGCACTCCCTTGCTCCAAAACCTCCCATGGCTCCCAACTGCCTACAGGACACATCCACATCTGCTCCTCCTGACAGCCCACAGGCCCTGCAGAGTCTGACACAGTCCCCTTCCTTCCATTGTCCCCCTCACCCCAGCCACCCTGGCCTCCCCACTGACCCTCCCCACGGAAGCCTCTTCCCTGCCCCAGCGCATTGCTCCTTGCTATATCCTTTCTCTAGAATGTCACTCCTTGCACACCCCTAGGTGTGGATGGGGACCCTTCCCTTCCTCAGGCCTCAGCTCAGAGACACCTTCCCTTACTCCTCTCCTCCTTCCAAAGAGGGGCCTGGGATGCTCCACCCCGTCATGGTGTGTGTTTTCTTCATAACCCGTACCCCAGGTTGTCACTGTATCATCTGCTTACTTGCTTATTGCCTGTCTCTCCCTAAACCTGTGCCAGCAACCACTGGCCACATATGCCTATTACATTTAAGCTAAGATGGGCAAGGTGGTATACGCCTGTAGTCCCAGCATTTTGGGAGGCCAAGGTGGGAGGATCACTTGAGGCCAGAAATTGGAGGATGCAGTGAGCTATGGCTGTACCACTGCACTCCCACCTGGGCGACAGAGCAAGACCCTGTCTCTATTATATAAATAAATACATAAAATGTAAGCTAATTAAAATGCAATGAAATTAAAAACACATTTCCTCAGCTACCCTCATCATATCTCAAGTGCTCGATAGCCACCTGTAGCCAGTGGCTCCCCTGGTAGGCAGGGTTGGTCCAGAACATTCCCACCTTTGCAAAGCTCTGTTGGACAGTGCAGGTCTCTACAAGCAGCAGCTCGGGGTCCGTCTCGTTACCCCAGCACAAGTGCTGTTGGCTCTCTGTAGACGTTTGCTGAGCAAGCCACAGACCCGAGATGAAATCCCAACATTCCCATCATTACCAGCTGTGTGACCCTAGGCAAGTCACTTCACCTCTCTGAGCCTCTGTTTCCACCTGGATCAAATGGGGATCATCATCCTGCCTAGCAGGTTGCTGGGAGGATTTGACAGCAGAGTGGCCGGCCTTGGCCAGATTTGTGGGTGTACAGTGAATCCTGGCTTCCTCCTACAACAGCCGCCCCAAGTGCCGGGAACTCCAGCCACTGTTTAAGCCTCACACATGGCAGGAGCCTTGTGAACACTTTGTTGGGCCGGGTACGGTGGCTTTGTCGGGCTGGGCACGGTGGCTCACACCTGTAATCCTAGCATTTTGGGAGGCTGAGGTGGGCAGATTG